GTCCCATCCAATGGGCCACTGGCCACCGCGGCTGGGCGCCCACAGCCCCAGCGCTCTGGCCGTGGTGGGATGGATGCCCACACCAGCTGGTGCTGCTGAGGGAGGTTCCCTGCTTGCAAACCATGGGGCTACAGGTCCCCGATGCATGAGGTAATAGCTTTGGTGACACCATGGTGTCACCTCTGGGCAGAGCCAGATGAGGACTCAGAGGATGAGGAGGAGGTGGAGAATAAAGACCCACCAAAAAAACTCAAGAAGAAGCTTTCCAAAGAGCCCCCATCGGGTGAGAGCCGGGAGAAGAAGCTGAAGCCAAAGGGTGAGTGCCTGGGGGACAGGGACAGCTCAAGTCTGGTTCTGTTGCCATTTGCATCTGTCCTTGCTGGGACACCTGTGTCCCATCCCCATCGCTGTCCCAGGAGGCTCAGGGGGCTGCGGGACAATCGCCCCCACCCCGTGCAATCTCTCCCCAGCTCTCTCCTTCCTGCTGTCCCCACCCTGCCACCTCCCCATCCCTGCCTGTCCCCGCCCCCCCGTCGGGCCGCTCATCGGTTCCTGCGTCCCACCAGGTGACAAGAGCGACCACGACAGCAAAGCCAAATCTGCCAAAAACACCAAGAAGGAGCCAATGTCCATGTTCCAGGTGAATGGGGAGAAGAAGGAGAAGAAAAGCAAGAAGAAAGGTATGGGGCAAGTGTGTGTGCGTGGGGGGTGGCAGCCAGTCCTGCTGTCCCACAGCATCACCCTGATCCAGCAGCACCCGGCACCACATGACAATGTCCTCCATGTTCCCCCCAGCCACCACAGACAGCGATGAAGAGGACAATTCTGACTCCAGCACCAAACCCATCAGGTCAGAGAAGAAGAAAAACCCGGCATCCCTCTTCCAGACTGGGGGGAACCCCCCCAAGGAGAAGAAAACCAAAAAGAAAGGTGAGAGCGCAGCACTGATGACGTGCCAGAAGGTGGTAGGTGCTGGAGGGGCTTGTGGAGGTGTGGGTGAGCCTGGCCATGGAGACCGGGGTTATGATTGATGGTGTTGGTGTGAATCTATGCCAAGCTCGACTTTGGGGTTCAACAGAGTCAGGCCTTCCCCTCAACCCCCCTGTGCCCCTGCCTGTTCCTGCCTGCAGCTCTTCCCAAAGTGGCCGAGAGTGAGGAGGAGACCCCAGAGACTCCGCAGAAAAACTCCAACAAGAAGGGGAAAGGGAAGAAATCAAAGAAGGTATGAAAATGCGCTCAGAGCTGAAGGGGTCCCCTTGGTGGGGGCAGCAGCTCTTCCCCCCTGAGTGACTCAGGGGCTGGAGCATCCCTCGGGGAGACCTGCTGCAGCATCATCCCCAACGCCACTGGGGGATGCAAGCGGCAGGCGCAGCCCGGGCAGGGGGGGTCGGGAGCTGGGAAAGGAGGGGAGCTTTTGGCAGGTTTGGCTCTGGGGTCACCATCCCCTCTCATGCTGCAGCTGAAGGAGGAGAGGCCCCCATCGCCCATCATTGAGGTGGACAACCTGGAGGAGTTTGTGCTGCGGCCAGCGCCACAGGGGGTGACCATCAAGTGCCGAGTGACGCGGGACAAGAAGGGGATGGACCGGGGGCTTTACCCCACCTATTACCTCCACTTGGATAATGACAAGAAGGTGAGCGGGGGTGTGGGGACCCTGGGGCTCTGCACCCATCCTGAGGAGCATGCTCGGGATTTTGGGGGGATGCCAGCCTGCATCCCACCGTGGTGGTGGATCCTGGATGGGGCTGCTCCACTGCCCTGAAATTCCCCTTAGGAAATGCCCCGTGATGATGGTGCCCAGGGTGATGAGAAAACATCAGCCAGAGAGCCATGCTAATGCTGGGCTGGGCTCAGACCCTCCCGCCCCATGGCTCTGCCAGTATTTTGGGGATCATCTTCGCTCTATGACTTGCACAAGGTCGCGGCAGTGACATGTTGGGCCAAGCCTTGTGCAGAGATCACAGCAGGGCGGTGAGCCAGGGACAGCAGCAGCAACGGCAATGGCGGTGCCCTGTCCCCACATGGTCCCACTGCCCACTCAGGTGTTCCTGCTTGCCGGGAGGAAGCGCAAGAAGAGCAAGACCTCCAACTATCTCATCTCCATCGACCCCACCGACCTGTCGCGGGGCGGGGAGAACTTCATTGGGAAGCTGAGGTAGGAGCAGAGGTGGCACCCCATTCCTGCAGCACCCTGCTCCATGGCTTGCCAGCTGCCCCAAGTGATGTCTGGGTCAAGCAGGAGGCTAAATTCATTCCTTGCTGCTGGGCCTGACCCTGGGGAGTGTCAGGGGGCCAGGAGGGGAAAACAGGCTGATCTGGTTCCTCCCAGCAGACAGGTCACAGCTAGAAACAGTGCCCGGCAAGTCCTGGCCTGTTGCACCACCGGCAGCTGCGCAGTGATACTGGGGAGTCCCCGTGGTGGCAGCACCTTATAACGCCCCAATTTAGGGGACAGGTGCCCTGAAACTGAGCAATCGGTTAAAGGGTGAGAAGGATGGTGTTGGCCAGGGGCTGCACAGGGGTTTTGCAGCCACAGCAAA